TCTCTCTCTGTCTCTGTCACTCTCGTGCACTCTCCCTCCCTCTCTCGCTCTTGCTCGCTCTGTCAAGCGTTTCTGACTGTTTGCATCCGGCCTCATCAGACTGTCTGTTTGGAGGCCTGCCAGATAAGGGCGGGGGCGGGGGATAGCTAAGGGTCAGAGGTAAACAGGAAGTCAGGCGGTCCTTGCCCTTGGCGGAAGGGGAGGGCTCAGGGGAGGAGCTGGGAGAGAAGGGGGAGGAGGGAGTTGTACTTGGATTGAGTGTGTCAGAAGCATGTGGGAACGCTGCCAGCCTAAAGTGCACAGTAGGTCTGAATGTAAAGTCTGCTCTTTTATTCAGCTTTTCTTTCCTTGCTTCTCTCTCCTGACTCTTTCTCCAGGGATTAAATGGCTTTACATATTTTCTGGGGTGATGGCTGGGTAAATATTTGCTCAGCAGTCAAATGTGGAGGGTTTTCTGTGTATGTATGTGAATGGAATGCAATTTTTGTTTGTGACGTGAGACGACCTCCTTGAACTTGTGTTAACCTCTGACTGGAGGAGACAGGAAAGAAAGCTGGGTGATTATATCACAGTGTCTCTGGGTACAGAGAGACTCTAGACTCTTGAGGAAGAGCATGAAAACCACTTGTAAATTAGCCTCAGTTTTGGGTGCAGCGGAGGAAATCAGAAAAGGCATGAAGGGGAAATGACCCTCTTGCCCTTGTGTTTACAGCTGACACAATGATTGTCGTCTGGTGGTAGGAGGGAAGGATAGTCTGAGAAAATCTAGGAATAAAACACATTAATATGAAGTGAAGCTTGAATGTAGCTAGTGAAAGTCAGTGGGGCCGCAATATGTCTGTTGTTCTGTACGACTTGATGCAGGGTCTTTACCACAGTTTGACTTTGACAGAACTTAATGTCGGTCACATTGTCCAGAGAGACGGCGGTTGGCTCACTGGTTACTGATTTGTAAGTTCAGCAAACAGGTTTGTGTCAGTAGGAAGTCATTAGGTGGTTGCCATGGACACCTGTGTTGTAAGTGGAGACTTTGTTTATTGAGTGTTCAGGCTGATATTTTACAACACTCAATTTCTGTTGACAGTGCAATTGACTCTCTCAATCCTGTGTTAACTTTTAAAGAAGAAAGTTCACTGTTGAAACTGGTATGTCATTAATCTATCATCACTCACTGTGTAGTGACTTCAGCTACAGTACCGTCATACAAGCTCACAAATCTCTCATTTAGAATAAATAAAACGCCTGATCAATAAAACCTCGTCTTTGTGGGCAGATTTGCTTGGATAGCCTTAATTAATAAAACTTTTATCAAAATCACAATATGACCAACTGCAATATCTAAATTGCAGAATTTGCAGTTTTTTGATACAGGTAAATGTTTAACAAAGCATATTTATAATGGAATCCTGTAGTACTGCAGAGATGCCCTGGCCCGCATATCTTTTCTGTTTGTTTGGTAAAGACCCCAACAAATGTC